TCAAAGGTATTTACCTATATTTCCCTAATAAAACTGAACTGAACTGAAAAGGACTAAGGGTATATGAGATGTACTACTTAAACTACTGTTGCCAAGTATTCTTTTCAAAAAGCAAGTCAGAATCTAGGTTAGCATTTCATGAGATAGCACATCCACTGCATGTATATAAACTGAGCATCTACATTCTCCGGCGATACAATTGATAGGCTCTCCCAAGTGGGACCAACACTACCCTACCTTTCTTTCTCCATTTTTTAAGCACGCAATGACTTCTAAGCCAAAAAGCAACTAAATGTCGCTAAAAAAAGGGAAACAAAAATGAACTAAAAATCAGGTAATTCAAAATAAACTAAACGAAGAACTCAAGTTAACAAAACGAAACCCAAGATACGGCCGTAATTCGGCAAAGCATGCCTTCTGCTATGAAGTAAGTAGATAGTTGTGCGAAAAGTAAGCTGTAGTGGGCCCTTAGTGTAACTGTCACCCTAGTACACGTATACACTTCTGACCGACAGGTCAACTACTATTACGGATGATGTCCACTGTGCGCCCCACAACAGGGTGAATTCAGGGACAGTAACTTGAGCTGGTTTACAGTGATAGCCAATTTGCGCATCATCTACCGATTTTTTTCTTTCCTCACCCAAGCGGATCCTGTGTTAAGACAAAGCCGAAAAAGACTGGACGCAGGCGTGGTGTGAGACTACGCTTGGGCCTGTCAGCACACATCTTGTTTGGCATTTGCTATAGGTGCGCACACCCAACAAGACCTGTCATGTACTGATCTGCCCCTCCGTGTTGGTCCGACGCATTTACCGCTTTGTCCGTTCTGAAAGCACACAACTCGACCAAAGCGTTGGTAAAAAACGGTTTTCCTATAAATAATCTGACGCTATCACGGTGCGCCAAAATCCGTGGTTGCCAACTGACAGCATAACTCGAAAATCACAGTCAGTCTAATGTTTGGCTGTGAAATTGTGGACTGAAAGTCTGGCTGTAATGGTTCCCTCTTAGTGTGTCCTA